AGCCCTTTTACTGCACAATACAATCAATGGTCGATGACTGCTATACGGCATCTCAGCACCAGGCTCGTGGCGATAGTCCAAGCATCGCAGAAAGTCCTAACAACCAAGGTCGGAGTATCAAGCAATGAGATCTATATATGCTGCTTATTTGAATCAAATTCAAATCACCCTATATATTGATATATATATATATATCATTATTCATTATTCTATATTATTCTTTGTCAGGTCAACCATTCACCTCAAATCTTTCAAATGACCTGCTGTGCTAACGCCTCAAACGACGACTTCAATGCCAACTTCTTGAGTTGGCAACTTCCGAAGAATGCATCCTTTTGCAGCTGGGCTAATTTCTGGGTCCTAAGCATGGTACTGGTACTGGTACTCCACATATTCACCCAATGTCTCGAAGCAAACCTAACAGAATTTCAACACACACAAAGAAAAACACCTGTTCTCCTCCCAGCTTTGGTGCTCCCCGTTCCCAGCTAAGCTCCCTCTGGTCGTCCGAAAATCGAACTCTTCGATTCTTGAAGGCCCCATCCCCGGGTCCCTGGTGCTGTTTGAGGCAGGAGGGCATGGCCTGAGCAAACCAAGTGGGGACGGCGAAGAAGCATATCGTCTCAGCTGCACTGAGAGGGCGAACACCATCATTGTTATTGCATCCTCCCTCAAAAGCAAAACATGTGAAAGGCATCGTGTCCATTTTGGATGGTTTCGGCCAAGCACTTGATTGCGGGTTCGTACATGTCGCACTGAAATCATATCTGCTCACGCCTGCAGGTTCTCAAAGAGTATACAATTCATGCTAACCTCCCAGCAGTGTCGTCCTGCTTGAATCTTAGTGACTTAGTGATGCAGTGATGCCTCGAAAACATCACGAGTATCTGTGAAAATGATCTGGACTTTCAGAAAGGCCCGGAACATCTCAACAATGCCTGGCCTCTGGCCACTCTGGCCACTCTGGCCACTGGCGAGCACCAGGCAACAGAGAAGATTGACCTAGGCACATCGACGCTCGTTGGCCAACATTGCCCCTCCCCCAAAAGCCCTCATGTCCCTCGAGTCAACCACCTGAAGGAACTCTGCTGCCTTCGGGGAGTCCGGAATTCATGCAAAAGTGCAAAGATCTGGCGACAGCATGCGACAGCTGGATAGATGAAATGCTGGATCAATCGGCTCGCAAAGGAAAGGCCTCTGGGAACTTTCACCAACAACGCGTGAAGTCATGAGACATGGTACCACGTGCAAACAACTTAGACGTACTTCTAATTGAAACAAATTATGGGACAAATCCAACTAGAAAAAACAGGTCCAAGTGCAGCAAGTGGGTTTCCCTTACATCGGCACCCCACACTCCTCCAACCACAAGTTCAAATCATGTCAGACAATTCCACTTCAAATCAAACTGGGAAGTTCAAACCGAATTAAACCCTTCCAGGTGGCCATATATATATATATATACATGATTATATATTATCTTGACATATATTTTGTGGTTTTCTTTCCAGAACTCTGCGTCTTTACGTTTTACGCTGTGACAGTCCACTGCCTTCTGGCGACCAACTGAGGAAGGCGCGCAGGTGCGGGCTCCGCCGGCTCCGCCTCACGTTCGGTCTCGACCGGTTCAGATCCAAACCCATGTTTCTACTAGCTTCTTGTTACTACTAGTAAGGCACTTGTTACTAGAAGTAAGGCACCTGTTACTACTAGCTTCTTGTTACTATGCCGCAAAACACACGGCTGATTCGACGGCAGGCGTTCTGATGAGCACGGCCTAAACTTGGTGTGGCTGTTCCAAACAGAAATCCTTAGGCATATCAAAACCAGTTGAGGAAGGTGTTCTTTGGCGGCACTACCATGCGCACAAACCAGTTTCCAGGCCCGAGCCTGCACTCATCTGGTTCGACCAATCGCGCCACCATGTTGCATTACCAGGTTTCCCAAGATGGGGATTGACAGTGCCACAACAAATTATTAAGGTTCAGCTATCTTAAATATGGAAGAAACTCCCTGAGCAACAGCACTTGTCATTTGTGAGCCCTTTGGTTGGATCCAAGATGAGTGCCAGCAAAGTGATCATTCAACGCAACCATGAATGACCACATGGATGAGTGTCTCCGTCTCAGTGCTGTCTGAATTGAACCTCGGAAGGAAGTTGATCCTGATACTTTGCAGCTCAATGGAAGGGATTGTCCCACGAGATTGTGGTGGGCAGGACGGTAAAACAAAAGAACGTGGCCATTGAAATTGTTTAATGACAGTGCCCTGAATTTCTCAACTCTTCTCACCAATTTCCACCATCACACACGCACACTTCCACCACATATCGCCACATGCTCATCACTATAACACTGTCATCATCTGTCATCACAAAGAGATCAACGAGTTGTGATATGAATTTGTAGTGGGGGGAGGCGCCAACACAACATGAACAGCGCGCAACATACATATAAATATATGTTATATATATATGATAGAGGGACTGTAAAACGTCCACTTCCCCAAAAAGTCGACTTTGCAAACCTGACTGGGACCCGCTTGTAAATTTTATGTTCTTGAACAATAGTAAGAGCGCATGTATGTTACATAAACAAGGCCAAACATAGAAGAACTGCAAAACGTAGCCAGCGCAGAGGCTGGCGCTGCTGCTGCTCCTGGATTCTAGCAGTTGCTTGACTCTTGCTTGGGTGGGTGGGTGGGTGGGTGGGTGGGTGCGTGCGTGCGTGCGTGCGTGAGTGAGTCAGTGAGTGAGTCAGTGAGTCAGTGAGTCTGAGTGGGTCGGTGACGACAAGGAGACGAGGATAATCAAACTCCTTTGGCAATACAAAAACACACCTACCAGCAAATTGTGGTCATATCAATGATAGAGAACCTAGCGCCAACATAGCCTTGCCTTGCGGAATCAAGGTAGTCTGCTGCGGGGGCCCGCTGCAAAACAAATATCTAAACTGCATGTTGCCCATGAACAATTACACTTAAGCATTCTTTTCTACTTAGGGGGTTTTGAACGCAATCCATACATATATATATATATCTGTGTGTGTGTGTGTTCACTTTCATCAACACCAACGTGGCACAACATGTTGGCTTGACGGGGGGACTGGCAATAACCTGCGTTGGTTTTTGTGATTGCAAGATGGATGATCTTCGGGGCCCCCCCCCAATACAGTGAAAGGCCACGGTCGTGGTTGACCATGGTAGTGCTACAGCAGCAGGCTCCATGGAGGTTTGGTCTAACCCGTCAGCAGGGCCAATGGTCAGTGTCGGCGGCGGCGCTGTCCATGCTCTGGTGTTTAGCCACTAGAGTCTCACCTTCTGACCAGTGACACCACGCGCCTTTCTACTTCAGCATCTTTTAGGCCCTGCTCCTTGCCTTGTGCCTTTGCCCGTCATTTTCTATTGGGTTGGACCTGGAGTAAGACCACACATGTCACGAAACCACACGAAAACGCATGCATTTCTGCATGTCAAGACGGTTCTTGGGGCTTACGCTGGGGAACCCCCTGGTTCCACCCCGAGTGTTCTTAACGTGAACATACGTGAACATATCACACAGCATAGAGTATAACATCGTCATCACCACACCTCACGCATCACTCGTTTACACTCACATAGCATGGACTTAATCACGTTGGGATCTCATTCAAGCTGTGGCCATGCGCCAGATGTCCTTCGGACATATTTGGACATATTTTCACACAAACAAACATGTTTCATCATTTGTCCATTGCTTGTTCGAGTCCATGGTTGCTAGAAACACGTCACTTCATGTTCTCACATGCTATAAGCATAAACCACACATATATAAATCATTGTTTGCAGGAGTGACTTGGCCTCATGAGTTTAACTGTGGCTTGGTTTAGCAGTGGACTTTGGACATCTTCTTGTTCACGCTTGGCTCTGTTGAGGGTTCATGGTTTAAGGGTCATGGAGCCATGGTCAAACGCACGCGAAACAGCAAAGCATTATTGACAAACTACCGCTTTACACATTCTCACCAATTTGAGAGAAGTGTGTACAAGGAGCCACGGAATCCGGTAATGATATAACAATGCAACAGTTTTTTTGGGGGGCATGAAACTGTGGGAGAAGCACATGGCATTTGCAGCAATACACAGGGTTGTGAAGACATGAATGACCCAAAACTTGCGATTTAGCTACCACCCACAGGCCTAACACCTGATTGCGACCTTGTAGTAAGGTAGCCCATCTTTGATCAAACGGAACTTGATTGTGGCCCTCGTCAGCAGCTGATTTATTCTTAAGCTGGCTTGAGCCATGCAGGTTAGTCGGAGATCCTCAGTGGCGGGTTGCAAACAATCTTCCGAGGGTTCCCTTGGACCCTAGGAGTTACCCCCACTAGTGGTAGAACAACAACCCCCCCAAAGGTCCTTCAAGCCTGGTACACCCAGTTCCAGCAGGGTGAGAGGAAGACTGGAGAACAAAATACTCTAGAATGGCTGGAGTTGCCCCTATGATTTGATCCTTTGGTGAACTCACGTGAACTCCCTTGAAAAAACCTGGAGATCTTTGCTCAGCTTGGGAGTGTCTTTAGATTTGGCCAGTCGCGTCGATGCAATGCCCACATCGGGAAAACACCAAAACATGAGACTCAAACCAGCAAACCTAAGTTACCCAGTAGCCAGCACCTCAGGAGTGGCGTGTGGAAGGAACTCATGACTCAACAAACACCCTTTGAACACCGTTATTGCATTGCTTTTGTCTCGATCCGAATCAATCCGTACCCTTCGTTCAGACAAGAACTCCAGTATCTATCTGTACCTTACTCAGGTGTGCGAACTCGTGGGGTGTTGCAAGGTCAGGACTGACCAGGTCCTGGACCCAGGTTCCGACCTCCCTTTTGCGGGTTCGGCGAAGTGGAGAGCCGCTGTGCCGTTCCCCTTAAGGGAAATCTATGGCGAAGTGGAATGCCCAAAGAACTCGTGACCCAGTCGGTGAGTACTGAACAACAACTTGACATGTTGATGTTTCATGATGTTTCTTCCTGGATCTTCAAGTTTCCAGCAAAGCCTCCAATTGAACTATTCCAATGGACTGCTGCAAGTCTCGGGATTTTTCAGGAAATTGCTGCAGCCATTGCATGTCGGCAAGAGCAGCTCTAAATGGCCGGCAACTCTGTAATAATGCATCCCATGTTGCCAGTTACCTACCACCCGGTGGCAAACCAGCGCGGGTGTGGCGATCCCTGTGCTCTTGCCGCTAGTAGTGCGTGAAGACCCAAAGCTCCGGGACAATCAAAGCAAAAAACTCCTCTGCTGACCCACATGCAATGCTATGATGGGCTCCATGTCGATGCAATGCTAGCTGCTATCAGGATGGATTCAGGCACAACTAACTTCATGACGCGTTTGCCTCTGCTCCCAGAGAAACCGCAACAAATCATCAGCGTGGCGCGCGGCACATCACGGCGTCGGGTGACCCCATCATCAGATTTCCTGGCCGAAGACCGAGCGAAACGCCGTGCAAGAAAACGTGAGAATGTCACATGTTGACGCAATGTTTGTGATATGATTCGATCAAAGTAAGGGTATTAAAGGATACTTAAGGCTCCACTTCTACGAAGCAAAGAACGAACAGTTCCCTGAGAGAAAAGGATACTTCAGTCGTGCAAAATCCACTGGATCGAGTTCCTGTTCTCCTGGCCTCAGCGATTGACACTGAAAAAAAGGTTCCGAACTCAACATTGACCCTTGAAACCAGTGCTTTGTATTGGGACATGATCTTTCAGGAGTCTATATAATTTCCAGGTCTATGTTTGTTTTCAGTGGTGCGTATTGTAAAGCACCTTTTGCACAGTTTGGTTTACTGCTCAAGCAGCAAAATCACTTGCAAATGCAACAGCTACACTTTGGGTCCGTCAACACATTATAAACACCACCAAATTAGAGTACAGTAATCATCCTTGCTCAACCTCTGCAGGGCACCAACCAGCATAATGAATCTACACTCCCAAAAACAAACAAGGAACTGGAACAACCCCTATACCGCCTATACCCTTGGAGCACCTAAACGGACACTACTTTCCTCTATAAACATGGTGACTGACTGCTCCACGCAACCATTTCCGAGTCAGAACATGCCCTCCGCTGAGTCGCGCTGGCGCCTCCTTCACCATCATCTGCTTAATGGTGTCTGTGTCGATGCTGATCTCCCCAGCAGATCCTCTGGACACGAGCCGACGAGGGGATGTAAGACGTCGGAGGAAAGAACGCAACGAACGAAAATGGTCCCGACATGTCCCGACCTGGGCACGCAGAAACCACCGAGAAATTCATGACATGACATAACCAAACATCACCAAATGAATGCTATAGCGCTGGATGGGTGATGGAGAATCTTGTTGCAACTTCGCAGAACATTGTGGCCAACTTGGTAAGTCTTGTGGCGTGGATCGCTTATTCATTGAATTCAGGCCTTTTCCCTTCATCTCCTCAGCCTGAAGGGTGGATTGGGGGATGCTCTCCCAACAAACTCAAAGGGTTGTTGTTCAAACATTTTAAACAACTGTGGGTTCTGTCATTGATTGACCTTGACCACTTGGCACCCAAACCTGCCCAGTGTTCAATAGATTCAACCCCAACTGCTGTATTTAGACAGCGACTGCACCCCCAAGTAGCGCTCGGTGCAGCACTGCCCCGGTGAAACAAACCGCAACCCGTCGACATTCCGGCGGGATCTCACCGGCCTGCGGAATCAAGCGCCGACTCTGTCGCATCTTGCGAAGAATATCCATCCACGACCAGCTCCTAAGTCAACCCGAGCAGTTTGGTCCGATTTTCTGGGGGCCAAAGAGAGCCTCCCCGCAACACCTGGCCTTTATGATGTGCACGCGCCGCCCCGCCCCAATAAATGACCCTTCCAGTGTTGCAGCAGGGGGGTCCCAAAGATGGGACATATGATTCGACAGGTCACTGCTACGTGGAATGAAATTACTGTACTTCGAGCATCCCCTCAACCTGAGACACGATTTGGAAGAAGGCAGGGCACATGCATTGAACGACTGACTAGCTAAGATGTGGACTGACACAATGTTCTGACGCTGGTTCTGGCATCAAGTCTGGTTTGTGCTCTGACACATCATCTATCATAAAGGTCGTGAAATGCTCTCTGGAATGTGTTATGAGTTCTGACATTCTTCCTGCCGTGCAGTCTGACATGTGCTGTGACGCGCGGTCCGGCTTCGGTCCTGATATGTGTTCCGACATGTATTCCGACATGTGTTCTGCCATCGAGTGTCTATCGGGAGTACATTCTGGCATTCTATATATTCTATCTATAGATATTTTGTGACATTCTTTCTGGCATATAGTGCGCCATTCTATCTGCAGTCTGGAGTTTCTTTGTGACATCTTTTCTGGCACTCTGGCATTCTACCTGGCAAACATTCTGGCATTCTATCTGGCAGAGAATGGTATTCTATCTGACATATATAGTGGCATTCTATCTTGCAAAATTCTAGCATTCTGTTGGTTTTTTAATTGCATTCTTTCTGGCATATATATATATATACATACTGGCATTCATAAATTCTGACATTCTATGTGGCATGCGGCATGTAGTATTCTGGCACTCGAGTGGGCATATACACTGGCATTCTATCTGTTGAGGTCCGGTGGCGCCCACTCTGATCTAGCGCGAGCCCACTGCAATCTAGCGCTCACAGTTGAAGGCCGACGGTCCCCACAGTGATCTAACACTCACACTTGAGGAGGACGCGGAGGAGGACGAGGAGGAGGAGCAGGAGGACTAGGACAGCTCTGATAACATCTAACAACACTCACCTGGCAGGTGGGAAATCATGATATTACCACTAAGCCGATACAGCCTATACCACTAAACTAAACATAACTAAACCATACTGAACCACTGTCTTTGGTCACATAGTCTGAGGCTCGAGGTGTTAAGCCCAAACTCACTGTGGCACGCCCTGATCATGACAACCTGAACCACCTTCGATCGTGACACATGACATCTCAGTCTCAAGGTTCTGTTGTTCAAGCACTAAGCACGGGGCATACATATACAGTATTTGTCTGGTATTCAGGCCCCTCACTTGGGCTCGAAGTCCTCCCACCCACCGCTCCGCAGCTTTCATGGCTTGGGCCTTCCACTGGGGTGTTTGCCAAAACCTCACCCTATAAGCCATGAAGGGTTGACATCCCTTAGAGACGAATCTGCTCACTTCTTTTGGACCGAACTAAAAGTATGCGCTTTTGACCCACGCTCCTTCAAGCTAATAGCGATGGCCTCCAACCGAGCTCCTATATGCTCCTCTAACCTTTAACCCACCTATCCCACCTGCCCCACCCCTTTTACCGCCAGGTCTCCGCATTTGTGGGGATCCGCCGTATCTCCGGCGTTCCCGCCTGACCTTGGCCACATGTTGGACGTTGGGGTAACTAGGATACGCTGGGATGAATGAAATGAGGATCACAAATGAGAAACTCACACTTGGCTTCGAAAAAGACCTTCGAATCCTGCAACAATCTCGTCCAAAAAGACGTGATCCATGTTGATTACAGAAACCATGAGGATCCCCGAACATGTCAAATTCCTTCTGACCGCAACCTCTCAACAAAGCCTAAGGTAGGTCCCTCTGGACCTGGTCAACCGATCTGTCAAAGAGAATGGTGTTGTACATGTGCCACACAACATTTGGTCTTCTATCAGAAGTGGAAGATAAGCGACAACTCAGAAATACCCTTGCACCAGCTCGGACAATGACAGCCAGTATCAACAACGTGCTTTTTTTGTGTTTTTGTTTATCAATTTTGGTCCTACTTATATAGTCTCAAGCAACAAAGCTTCATGTGGCCTTGAAGGTAGCAAAAGTCTGTTCTTTAATCCTTTTACTATTTACAAGTGGAACATCTATCAAAAAAGATCTATCCTGGTGCCTACATAGTCGCAGCTTTACAAGTATTAGCCTCCATGAGGCGAACCGATGTTCAAGGCACCACTGCCACTCCCTCTGCTAGACAGGAAGGTCTTCAATCTCTCCATCGATGATGCTCGTTCAGCGCTCTCTTGCGCGCTTGAATACTTGTCCTGGGAAGCCCAGCTCGAGGCGACGTCTTGCGCCGTGCGAGGACTCCGAAAGTAAGGCTCAATACGTTCAAAGGCTTGTAATAATACAACTGTGTGTTCTGCGCCAATGTGTCTCATCCCCAAAAGAGGATTACAAATCCCGTGCTCAATACATTCAATACTCACCACAAGTTCATCCAAAGCCGTATCTGCAGTCGTATGAAAACGGTTTTCCGCCGATGTTCGGTTCTTCAAGCGGTTCCAAGAGCCGAAATGAGGCCGTGACATGCCCTGACGATCCAAAATAGTCTGGAGAACCCTGGTCCCGAGCGTTTACAAGCCAGTGATGTTGTACTGGTATGTTACAGCCCAGTCGAGCCCAGTGATTCTTTGGAACCAAAGATGCCCAACCCGGAACCCATTTCCGACTGGGATGACTAGTGACTGGTAGTATCACCTGGTTCTCCCGCACAGTGTTCCACACGCCTCAGCCGTGCCCTGTGCCCCGCGCGGAAGCGCGCCTCCAACATGGGCAACAGCCGTGCAGTCATCACCATGATCTCTGTGGCCTGAAACATGCGTCGAGAGCCACAGAGCTCTTGCATCATTAATAATACACGCGCCAATGGGCGGATTTCGGTCGTACTGGGAGGCTTAGGGTCTGTTACCGACTATGTATAATATAATATGGAACCCTATCTATATAATAGACTTATAATAGACATTATAGTTGTAACTGACAAATATAGGAATGTCCTTCCAGTTCGGATCTTCTGTTTGGACATTGCTACACCTTTGTCTGAGGACCCAGAATCTTCATTGGATTCACTAAGCGCCTGTTCGGGTTCCACCTGTGAAGTGAGACAGCCTCAGTGGGGGATCCCCATGATTAGGTTTGAAACTATCCTAGAAACATCACAAGAGAGGCCATGCTCAGGAGGGTGGTAGGATAACTATATTATATGTTTGGGTGTCAATGCCACTGTCACACTGACACATGCCATTGTTTCGCAAGCGCAGAATCAAGATGCACGACAATGTTTTGACTCCCATCCACCTCACCACAAGCATTTACCAAACCATTCCAACTGTGTTTTGCGGTTTTGCGTTTGGACGGCGTTTGGGCCTGGATGTGAGCACTGCCATGGGAACTAAACTTCAAGGCCAAGACGTTGAAGAGCCGAGAGTAGATGGCGCGCACACCCTCAAAATCCTCCGCACGCGATGCATCACAGTGCCATCCGAGGGTCACAGATGTATTTTATTCTCATCGTTGTGTAACGGGCTTCGGGAGGATCGAACGCGTGTTTACTCCCCCTTGCCAAACATGGGATTTTCGGTGCGTGCCGCGTCTGACATAATATGATAAGTGGAGCCCTCGATCCTCTTTCAGACGAGAGCCATATTTGGCACACCAGTGGGAACATTCTATGACCCAACCTGTGAGGAAGAACTCCGTCACAAGTGACCGTCGCAACCTCACTGTGATCATTTTGATTGGCCTACTGGCCCCTCTGAAATGTTCAATATGCCCACATGACCACTCCACCAACCCACGCCACCTACAGGTCCAAACGGTGTGCACTATCGGTTGGACAGGCCAAAGCTCCGTCTCCAAGTCTGCCAAGACCTCCTCGCTGAAGATCCGCCCATCGGCCAAGTGTTCGAAGAAGGTTGGGTCAGGATAGGTGAAGGACTCATCTGCCTGGTCAACAACACAGTTGTTCTTTTCCGGATCACGTTTTGTCGGTCCCGTCGGTCCCGTCGGTGAGGTTGGACTGTCCGGTTACTGGTTGGTAGACATAAGCTGAACTGGTGGGCAAACGGGGGCAGCTGTGGTCAAAGACGGCTCAAGTGCAAACCAGCGATGTGGATCCTGCGGAGAGTTGTCTGACCATAATGCCGACATGGATGAGACCTCATGGCCTCCTATGGCCTCTCATAAAACACTTGGACACTTGGTGTCAAAATCGCCTCATTCCGTTCTGTTCGAGGCGTCACCTGTACCATTCTACTGCGTGATCTCGACTGTAAATGGAACACTGGGCGGGGCGTCGAAAAAATGGGTACAGATTCTGCGAGCGTCGCCTGTACTTCGTCACCTGAAGACCCATCGTCCACGGTGGTCAACTGGCAACATTCACCTGCTGCACTACCGTAGACTTGCTGCACTACCGCTTTGATTGCTCGGGATGGTCTGGGCCCAGATCGGTCTTCGTCCTGACTGCTATGGGCCCAGTGCAGCTGATGATTCAAGTCATCTCCCGTAGGAGCTCAGTCTAAGGATAGCGCCGTCTCAGGGAGATGGAAGGTCGAAAGAACACGCACTCAGAACGCTCATGTCGTGCTTTCGCAACGCGTTCCCTGCTGCAAAACGCACACTGAACTGACAACCGTAACCCTCCTGCAGGAAAAGTCCACAAAGCATGACTGAACTAAGGACTAGCAAACAATTCACTATATTTGGTTAGAGTAACTGTTTGGACCCACCGTCGTTGAAGATCTCAAAAAAGAAGGTAATTCAATTAAGATACAGGTTGGCAACCAACGGCGTAACTACGCAACGGCCTTTTCTTTTCCCTTCACCCTCTCCACCAGCCAAGTCTTCACCGCCTTGACGGGGACCAGCTTGGGAATACACTCCTCTGGGCAGGCAGCTAATGCACCGGCAAAGGAAGGATGGTGCAGCATCCCTGCCAGACACGACGCAGGCCAAAGGCGGCGAATGGCGGCGAGTGTCCGTGTTTGCCGATTCGGAGTTGATGGGGCAGAAGAATCCAGTGTGGTCGAATGGAACTTGCAAGGTCAGTCCAACAATGAGTCGTTTCCCAGAAGCGCATCAAATTGACTCGCTGGTGCGAGGAATGAGGCAATGGATCCTACCGGAATCTACACCGCACTGAGTCTACTGTAGTGGCGGAATCATTCCTTGGTTCACTACCAAATGCACTGTCAGTTTAAGTGCACCTTCTTGGACATCGACATCGACCACGCATCCACTGGCAGACAGGAGAAGCCAGGGATCTACCCACCCAAAATCAACCGTCTGAGATTTAGAATATTTATATACAGAGAAAACATGACTCATCTGACTCCATCTGGCTTGCAGAACACTGGGATGGACTCGGCAGCCATCATTGCGAACCAGAAGGCTTGGGCCCTCAGAGCCCAGCACAACTTCGTGACAATTCAACCCCTCCTCGGGACACCCAAATTGACATGAGTATTAGAAAAAGCCCATTCTAGCACCTATTTCTAGAGTCTAGTGACCCCCAGCTCTGTCACAAGGTGAAATTGCACAACATTACAGAGTTAAACACTTGCCAATCACACCATATTCACACCTCGTCCGGCCAACGGCGGAAGCGCCTTGTGTCAAGATCACTAGCACTGCTCTGACTCCTCACGTCTGCACTTTGGGCGCATCGCAATATGGATCAAGCAAGCTTCTGTGCAGAGTGAATTCAGCTTTTCATCCCTAGATCGATTGCATTCTTGGGCCCTTTCATTGGAGAGATGTGCTGATTGCGACACTTATGTGTCCCATGTTGAATTCTTTGCAGCTTTTAGACTCCATTGTGGTGTGCCGGTTGCCTCCATTTGCGCCACCAACGCTGAGAACCCCTTTTTGCCGCAAACGCCAACGCTGGAGACCTTCAGGTGTTTCGGGACAGGACCTCAGGACCTGCAGTGAATTGATGGGGTGGACGGGGTTCCTTCAAAATCATGTTGATCTTTCCCTGTGTGGTATCTACGTTGTTCGACCTGCCATCTGGTTTCCTTAGTCTTTTGATCTTTGTTCTACCATCTTGAACGAGCTCGAACAGTTTGTGGGGAGGAGGCCGGTCACGTCGGCCCAGGGTTTCGCAAGGCCCTGGAAGCCTGTGTGGCACTGTTGAGGCACCATTCAGTGTAGCTTGTCTCCGTTCCACTGAGACAGCTGACCGCAACTATACGCACACCGATAAAGCATCAAACAGCGAACTGCAAAGACTGCACGAGTGAGCCCCAGGTGCAACATCTACTTTCTTTAGCTGGTTGGCACTGGTTGCATCTACTGAAGCTCATGCATCCTTGCTAAGTTCCAAGGTTCACATGCGCGCCCTTGTATCTTCACCTGTTATTGCCCTTTAAAATGCTTAAAACAAAAAAACAACACCCTGACCTTCAGCCCCACAAGGACCTTCAGAAATCGGCTGTCCTTGAAATCGGGCCACCAGCATTTCATAGGAATCGACATCCTTGATCACGTTTTGCACCAGGACCGCCTGAAGATTCTCGTTTTGTCTCGAGGCCCTGGCTGGGCCGCCCATGGGCTACGGAGATGCCGTCATGCCCTCTCTCTCACCTCTGAATCTGCTGACATGGACAAAGGAGATGCTGTCTGACACATCTTAGACTCCAAATCGTCCATTGAAGACAACACCAAACAAACTCTACAATCCCATTGAAGACTCTCCGCCTCTCCGATTCGAGGGGTTGCACCGGCGATACATGAGTCATCAAACAGTACTGAGGTCAAAACCCTTGATTATGTTAACTCTCCTGCGGCCAGTCATAAAATGTCATATATAGTTATTTGTATATTCTTAAAGGAAACCAACCTGTGTCCACATACTTCCACAAATAGACAAAAACCTAACACCTACAACCAGAAGACAACATGTTGAAGGTTCTCCACATCGCGGCCTCTTGCATTTTCCCCTGCAGCAGGATCTGAATGATGCGGCAACAGCAGCCTGACCTGGGCCGATTCCATCTGTTCCGGCTCTGAAAGAAACACCCCGTCAACACGGTTCTTTCGGTTTTGAAAGAAGCAGCCATGCCCTCCGAACTGTTTGGGTTCAATTCATGACTATATAAATTCATGTTTTTTTTGTTGATGGGTAATCAAAAGTTTGGTGAGTGTACCTTGTCCATGCCCAAGTAGGCCACTAGATCGATGCAATTGCTCAGCCGTCATCAGTCGCATACGCTGAATGGGATGTAACATGTTTTGAACTTGGAGTCACCATACTGCATCGTATGCTTGCTAGGAACAACACACCAATCACCAATCCACAAAGCAGTTTGGACAATGAAACCTTCCTCTACCAGTCACCATGACAGTTTACAGCAGGATATGTGTACATTTGTATACCCTAAGTCAGTTTCGCAATGTTAGCCTTGATCAGTCTCTCCCGAAGCGAAGCAAGATCTCTCTTGACTTCAACAAATCAAAAGGACAAAACAAACACCGCAATCGGACAGGTTGAACACATCCACCAGCTGCACCGGTGTCCGGTGTGCCAACACCAGACCCCGTCGCTCCAGGTGGCTCTGGCGTGTCCAAATCCCCGAGCATCAAAAGGGAGTGGTTCGTCAGGTCTAGACCTTTGGCAGTCGGTTCCGGTGGCATCGCACAGCGCTTTGGTGTCGGTTTTGGTCGGTTCCCGGTGTGTGAAGGGAGATGGACGGCCGGGAGCAGTTGGAGCTATTGTGCGGGGCTGCGTGTGGACATGTGTTTGGTGAGCCGCGCCCGTGTTTTAAGGTTCTTTTCTGCTGAGGCATGGACTTGAAGTCTGCCGGCTTGTCTGCCTGTCAGGCTGCCTGTCTGTCTGCCTCTAGTTCGCACCTTCTTCCCAGCAAATTGCAAAAGATGCACCCGGCTCACCAAGCTCACATTCTGGACGCTACTAGGACCTAGGGGCTCCTGGCATCGCTACTAGGAGCAAGGATGCTACTAGGGGCTCCTGGCCTTACTACTACGAGCAAGAAGCTACTAGTAACAAAGGGCATCGCTACTAGGAGCAAGGACGCAACTAGATGCACGCGGCTCACCAACTTGATTCTGTTCCAACATTGCTCCTGCAACGCTCCAAAGCTCTCTCTCACTCTCTCTCTCTCTCTCTCTCGCTCTCTCTCTCTCTCTCGCTCTCTCTCTCTCTCTCGCTCTCTCTGACTGAGCAGGCTGAAGGATTTACCGAAAAGTGAACGGCACCAGCCAGTCCAGCTCCGCCTAGTGTTGAAGAGTCAATCCCCTAGGCTGCTGTAGCTCTGCTGGTGTGCAGACCTTTCGGACACTGTGCACATTTCCGCAAGCGTCCTTGCTTTGCGTCAGTGGACCTTGCAGAGAATCATTTTGGTGGACAATTAGCGACGAAAGTCCGGGCCAGTTGAAAGTCTTGTTTTATCTCAGCAAGGTGATCGTGTCACAGTAGCAATTGGCGCGTGGCTAACTAGCTTGGCACATACACGTTGTTAAAGTTTCTGGGGTGTGGTTTTGTTGCAAAAACCAAGCCCTGCTGGTGATGCTTGTGCTGCTGGCCGGGCCTTGTGTAATAATTAGAACTACCATGAACTACCACAAGAAATTGACTGTACAAAACAAATAGATACCATATACAAAACAATACAAAAAATGTCATAGCACAATAGATGGATAGCGATCAATAGATGAACACATGGCTGAATCGATACATTGATGCATAAACAGTAGATAAATAGAATACTGTAGTAACAACATCTTATTCATGGTGTTTGGTTGTTTTGCAGTCCATTTCCAGGAAAGAAACACCTGAGCTGCTACACTGTGTTTGTTCTGCCTTCAAAACTTTATGGGGACACGCGCAAGGCGAAGCTTCCCATATCAGCTTCCAAGTCCCTATCTTCCACCAAAACATGCATACAAACCCAATTAGGCCCAGATTGTATAAAAATATAAATCATACACAACGAACAGAACAACTTCCTTGGATCTTCTTCATGTAGAATAGTATGTCTATGTTTCCAAGTTGATATGATTTAAAAAAAAAGAAACACATAGTATAATAAGAACAACATCATCTGCTGAGTCCAAGTGGCCCAAAGTGCTTGAGGTCATCCCAGTATGGCCGAAGGAGTTCACGCGCTGGGTCTTTTGCAAGCGGGTCAGCATAAAGAGTGAGAGGCCTCCGCGGCACGTCAGCAGAAGGGTCGCGCATGCCGTGAGCGTTGTGAAACAAACGTTTGGAGCGAAGGGTTGTTGAGAGGTGCTGACACAAGTTCTCAGGGGATATGAAGTGCCGCTAGCTAGGCTTATGCAATCATACTTCTCTCGAGTTTTTTTCTCTTCAGGTGTCGAATGTCTATGCGCTGGAATGCCTATGCTGGAGGTTTGTGCAAGGCCTCGCTCCGCGAGGCTGCGTGGGAATTTCCAAGCAGCTTCGCGAAAATAGTTTTGCAGGCTCTTTCTACCGCCAGTGTCTGCCACTAAATGAATGAACCTAAACTCGCCTTTAAGTGGCTTCGCCTATATGTGAAATTGTGAAGCCTATTCAAGTGGCTTTGCGTGTCTTTGCAGCGCCACATCAACACACAATAGATCAAAAGAATGCCTCCGCCGTGGAATGCCTCCGCGAGTTCCATCCCGTTAATAAGACCGATCATTCAAGACTCCATTCGATGCACCGTTTCCTTGTGCCCAGGCTACTAAGCAGAACATAGGGACTTTCAAGTGATCTGTAGAGGGAAGTACGGGGCTTTTCGGTTGTAGCCTTCGATGCCTCTCGTTGCCCTTGGCCTCGGTCAGACTTAGAGTATCAGAAAAACTCTCATTACAAACAAAATATCTCTACAGGAGGGTATAAATACTCTCATTATAAAATTCTCATTATACTCAATTACAGCGAATCTGAGGGTCGTGGTGGTTTTTCACGATGGTCCCACGGTCGTCCGCCGTGGCGACGGTCCCACCATCCCACCTTTGCATTCGCTCACGACACTTCGTGCCACTGTGAGGTGCTCATACTCCTTGGCTCCCCTCCGTCTCAGCTCTATAGGCACTTGGTGCAGAAGGGAATCATAGGCCTGCTCCTCAGCGAGTTCACCAGTGGATCAAAAAAAAGAGTGGAGAGCTTGGGTGATGTTTTTCAAATGTGGAACAGTTTGTTTTTCGTCCAGGGATTGGGTAGGTCTAGTGAACTGTGGACAGGTGTGTTGCTCCATGCCACACGGCCATGCATGATTCTTGCTAGTCGCAAGTACTGCATGGCAACTGGCAAACATCAGGACTATACTATACCTTCAGAAGTTGTAAGAGTCAGAGTATGACATAGCTTGACCACATTGATCACTTGCGACTGACTCTGATGTAGCACCCTGTTTGGCCTCGAACGCTTTCCAAGCCACAAAGCCTTTGTGGGAGCTCTACCTTGGCTGGGGGTCAAGCCAAGGCGCCACAATACTCATGACAATCCCAGAGGCTGCCAGGGTGGCCTTGCGACACAAACAAGTGGAAACGAAGGGCAGGGCAGCAAAACCATTCTGTGATGTTCAGTCAGTGACTGAAGAAGAATAGATTTAACCACAATGGGCCCACGTGTTTGGGTTGCTTTCATTATGGATACGACTATCCAACATAGCCTATGAACCTCTGCCACCTACTGCATCCTGCTCCAAACTAACTTACTGATTTTGTCTCGAGATAAATTCCTTCCTAAGTCCTTAAGTGGCAGGAGTTGTCTGATGGCACTGTTACCAAACTGCAGTGACTACTGGAAAGCATAAATACAATGTTTCAGGGGCCTTTATCTGTTCTCGACAGCTTTAGTAATAGCAACTCTGTGACAATGCTGTCTGGCGGCTCCTTTTGGTCATGTCATGTGTAGTGAGGAACAAGAGCCTATTCCTTCACCAGGGTTTTGGGTGAGGTCTCCCTACCTCGTTCACATCTCCGCTATCTGACCTGAGTCAGCTTTTGTGCTCTCAAAGCCCCAACCCGCCAACCTCCTTCTTTGGTTCCATCAAATAGAGGGCCCAATCAGGGTGCATGGTGCAAAAGACTCACCAAATGGATCTCTGTCACATCACGTCCACGTCCGGTCGATGGTCACAGCTCGACCGGAGCGAAGTCTACCGCGTCCCGCGTCTTGGCCTGCTGTTCCTCTGTCCAAAGCTGTGGCAACACATGGATGAGCTCTTGACTGAAGCCATTCCCGTCGCAGCTCACCAAAACCTGGCCACAGGTTCCGAGTTGTATATAGAGTCGTAGAGCCCTGTGAAGGCCAGTTAAAAAGCCAAGTGGTGGTTCATCTCACGTAGCTTTTGCGCTTGGGGTTGCTCATCTGTTGAGACGGGGAACGGAATTAGCAAACCTTGAAGAAACAATCGTGGTTGGTTTGATCTGCGGAGCTAACCTTTGCATGCCAGCAATGTTTGCGCTTGGGTAAAAAGTTTATATACATAACTAGAACATACCTTAACCCCCAAGAACCTATAAAAACGTAGGGTGTGCATGAATACCTGGGGTTTGAAAAGGATACCCGAGGTTTCCACTTGCAGATCCAGTGAGCTCGCTGGCCAGTGGCATTTTTTGGCTCGCATCGGAGCAAAGGATTGGACCTGCAGGCCTGAGTTGTCACATGATTGTTTGAAGTTATACACTTGATTTCATTCAGGCCTGACCAGGTATCCGCATTCTAGAAACTCAGCATAAACCGAGTTGAGATACCGCTGCATTGTTCGAATCAAAGCGGGAGCCCGGTTCGTTACACGCCTTGACAGTCGACTTCCTCGTCCAATAAAATCCTCGTCTTGTTGCACCGATACTACCAAAGGATTTAGTGATGGCAAGCGTTGCTGCGAATCGTCCCACAAACGACATAGTATGTGGTGTATACAATGTATTTTAGGCTGTAATACAAACAATAGATCTCCGTTGTCCTGTGACGAACGGGCCAACCATGCGTATTTGCGGAGGAACTTTAGGCCGTAGCCTGCGATCTCAGCAGCTTTGTTCGGTGCAATGAAAACATCATCTGCATACAACGCACGAATGCACGCTTGGATGGCGAAGGTCGCTTCGGAAACTGCTGAAAGAACCGGGTCAGAAGTGAAGTCGGACTGTTTACACACAAATTCCAGCCAGCACATCAACGTCGTCGACAATGCCCCCTTGTGCCATATGCCATTGGGGTAGACCGTTTGGGTCTGCCACCCAATGAGTTCCTTGGATATTTTTCCAACAAGTCCTCTTTTCTTGCTAGAGGCGCACCAATTCTTGTAAAGAACGCTGAGGTTTTCAAACCTCTCATCCACGGTGCCCCCATCCTGAAGCTTCGACAAGAGTGCTATCGATGACGCCAAGAAGCACTTTGCAACACCCAGGTGCCAGCAATGAAACCAGTCCCAAGCCCACATCAAGGGTAGCTCTCCGGCAGGATGAGGTACCTGTGCAAACACCGAAGGACTGATAAATGGAGACTCCTGGCACATGGTTGTCTTCCATGAAGGTCGCTTTGTTTGAATTTGCTCCCACCAATAGTTGCCCACGCCTGCCAAGCACATGTGGCAGATCCCCCCTGGGGGGGCTCTAACAACCTTCCGTTTCTGTACGTTGTTGTAGCTGCGGAAAAAATTTCCACTTTTGTGCAACCAAACCCAGTCGCCAATGACATGTAAAAGCATACCGTGGTAGGTCTTGTTGTCTTTTCCGAGGATGCCAGTGTCAGCCAATTCTAAGGCCTGTTCAGCAGCTGAAGCAAGAACTTCATTGAAGACGCTTTCTTTGGATCCGCTGTAATCGCACTTGCGCAAAGCTGAGAACATCCACCTGTTTGTGAAAGAATGCCCTCGACAATTTGCTTTCATTTTCAGCCATTTCTTCTTGATTCCATGTCTCTTCTGAAGTCTGTCTTGGGGATGTAGCCCTCGTCCCAGCAATGATCTAAATGAAAGAATCAAAAAAGCATCCCTCCGGCGCCCCCGGCCCTCGTCTCCGTGGAGGGCCAGGGGCACCGTCCGTCGCAAGGAGAGTTTGTTTTGCTCAGCCAAGAGGTAAATTGGGTGCGTTGGGCAGCGTGTTTTGTAAGCAGCCCAGAAAGCTTCGAGTATGTCCCCCTCTCTTTCCTCATTCGGGCGGACTAGTCCAGTCAGTATATGAAAGCACGAGTGGTCCAAGAAAAATCTGAACCAATCAGACAGCTTCAACAGTGGAACTTGTCCCCCGTCCTTTGTGTCCAAGTAAGAAATTGGAACCGGGATCGACAGTGACAGCTTCTTGGTCAAGAGTTGATGCGCATCCCTCTCAGGGTTCTTCAAAGAACACTTTGCCAAATGTTGTAGTCCGCCCGACCTGGCTGCCGCTTGGCCTATGTCTGCGACAACGTCGCGGGCCGCTTCAATTGCCGATGTGCAAGAAGCCTCGGTCCGCTGCGCGGGTAAATGCGCTCGCAAACGATGGGAAGATGTAAGCAGATCACAATAGTTCACATTATATAGCGAGCAAAGGACTGTGGGATAGCATGAGCCTATCTATTTTGTTTTGAATTGGAAATTGGTCTGAACCGATGCCATTAGTGCTAAATAGGCCTGAAGCAAAAAGCTATATGCAGTTTTATGTTATTAAGCTGAATGTGCAACGGTCGTTGTGTATACTATTCGGGTGACAGGTCTGCGATGGCTGGAGACCTTCTCAGCCTCTTCAGGCGCACAGGGCTCTCATCCAAAGATATCCCCAAACACGAAACGCAGAAAGCCGTTCATGAAGCAAACAGGTGGACTGGCATGAAAACCACACGTTGTTTTTTTCTCACGGTGGTGCAGCTCTATTGGTGTGCATAGTGGCGTTGACATCACTTGATGTGACTTATGGGATTGAAATTGGTGGCCTCGAACGCTTTTCATTCTGGGTTGCATTGGTTTAGGACAAACATAAAATATACATGTGAGCTCAAACATGTCCATTAAAAAGCACAATGAACCACTACCGAATGTTTGGAGGACACGTCTCGATTTGGACCACATGTAGTCGAAACTCTGGGCAGGTTCTGAGAGCAGCGCTCCTTGCCCAATCCTTTTGGCAAAGCCGCGGACTGCTCTTCCAGGACGGGCGCCTGGCACGACACTTCAAGGTTTCAAGTGCGGAGATCAGGAGGGGCGGTATTTGATGGGTTGGATGGCTGATAACAACTGCAGCTCCCACATCTCACAGGCATAAGCCGAGCAAGAAAAGATAAGTACCCCGGACCCTTTTTGACCGAGTAGCCCCACCGATAGCAATGATTGCAAAACACGCACATTGTGGCTAATACCACAAGAATGAAATTATCCAAATTGGCCGATTGCTTCGCACCATCGATGTAATGAGACAACAATGCTTTTGCAAATGGGTTGCGACAATTCCTTTTAATACAACTATAGCCCAGCAAAGCAAGCCTTCCGGGCAAAGGCGCTCACGAAAGTCGGCTCCCACAAAAACTGCAACCTTTTCAGGAAGCAGACTTACCCCTATTTTTGGCTTTGGCCTTTGCCGCCTTTGCAGTACCTGCGGTACCTTTTGTGGCAGTCTCATTCTTTAGGCCAGGCTTCCCCTTTGGGGCAGCTGACGCGGAACTCTTTGCAGCAGGGTCCTTCTTGGTGTAGAACTTCTTCGCGTTCCTGCAATGTGAATTGAAGAAGCTTGTTTCCCAGATTGATACGATACAGGACACTTGCATGACCACCTTTGGTTTCCACGATATCGGACTGATATCATTCAAAAGAATATATCGTGATGTTGTATGGCAGGCCCGCCTCACTTTGAGTTCAATGGATGCTGCACGGCCGCACCTCTGACACAAGTTGATGGGTTGGAGAGAGGGAGACCCAAGTGTTCCATATGAGTGTTCGCTATGGTTGACAGACACGGTAACGGTGAGGCTACGACGCGATTGTTGCAGCTCTCATCTTCGCTTCGGCCGTCTTGTGAAACCTCAAATGTGCGATCGAACAGTTTATGGTTCCAAGGGCTTAAGGTGTATACATCATGTTCGATCTAGCAACTCCTCGGTGTGGAAGCCTTCCGTTTCCCCTTTGATCCAACATTCATTGCATGAATCGAACTCACGATCAATGTTCTGCACCGCTGACTCCAGGCTGCTGATGCACCTGATCGGCAAGAAGCCCGAAGCTTTGTGGGCTCAGTGGCTGGTTGGAAAGAAACCTGGACTGTATATAATTTGTGAAAGAAACTCTTTGATGGCAGCATCGGCGTATTTGCTTTGCAGCTCTCTGATCAGTGACCATAGCTTGCCACTCTTTGCCATCATCGAGTCGATGAATTTGCGCAGAGCATCTTTTGTCTAGCGTAGTGGTTGATTCGTTAAAAACTGTTTCGCAAGACGGTGAACAATGGTGAACATCATACACTTGAACCCCCCAACCTGTGCAAACTTGTCCGGCGCAGAAGTTGGGAGCCCAGCAGATTGTTCGCTCTTAAACCGTGCTGAAAACCCATCCAAGCCCTGAAACTTCTCGCCACCCGGCATGCTGAAATCTGGGTTTTGCGGCGCCTGCCAACTCCAACATATGGAGAACGTGACATAAGAAACCTGATGGAATTTTTGGAGTGAGTTGACCACGGGAAGAACAAATTGGAAGGCCTCTTTCTGCTGCGTCAGTGTTTCCTCATAGGATTGAGATTCCTGTCGCTTGCCGGTCTCCCTTGCCACCACCCAGAATTCTTCTTGTCCGTCGTATTGGTTTCGCCTGCCGCAATTTGTGGAAACATACCTCAATTTAAAACATACAACTGACACAACACATTTAAGGGTTGCAAGATGCTCAGTGTGCCTGCAGTGGCTCGCTCCCAATTTACGGCGCCTGGCTATAGCACCATCGATTTTGGTCCTGAGCGAGATGGGTTGTCCACCCGAACATACACCCGAACACAGTGTAAGTTTTTCTTGGCTGCTCAAGGTGTGACCGGTACAAGCTCCAATCTTTGACAAACCCCCGAAACAAGACTAAGTCCCATACTTAGACCAACCCAGATCCTCCTTCATCTCATGTTCGGAGTACCAACCTTCATCAACTGTGAGCTCAATCATCTGCTTCTTCTTGATGTACACAAGAAGGCGGGCTTTGAAATCCTCACAGTTTCAACGTTTGAGTACATCCTCAGGAAACTACCCATGCAAGCAATCATAGCGTTTCCTGCGCATGCCGATATGCTTTTGTAAACGCAAGTGCATGCAA